CGCTATCTCCCCTCACCGTCCTGATTGCTCCTGGATCGCAACAGGCGCGCTCTCACCTCCGGGCCTTTGCACTGGCTGTGCTTCTGCCGGGTGCACCGTTCTAGACACGGGGGCGTTCTCCCTCAAGCCTTTCAATTCTTTCAAAATGTCTAATCTATTGAGATGCCCTCCTCACTAGCACTATTTTCACCTAATAAACTGTTGGGTCAGCTCCACAGCAGATGAGATTTTTTTTTAATATATTTTATTGATTTTTTTACAGAGAGGAAGGGAGAGAGACAGAGAGTCAGAAACATCGATGAGAGAGAAACATCGATCAGCCGCCTCCCGCACATCTCCCACTGGGGATGTGCCCGCAACCCAGGTACATGCCCTTGACCGGAATCGAACCTGGGACGTCTCAGTCCATAGGCCGACGCTCCATCCACTGAGCCAAACCGGTTTCGGCGATGAGATGTTTTTTATTTTGTTTCCGGCTAGACTCATAACAGTGCCTGGCATTCCCTAAACTGTTGAATGAATACAGACAAGAGACCCATTCCTGGATCAAAGGAGGTCCCGGCCCAATCATGCATTTCTTTCTTTCTCTACTCAACAAACATCCATTGAGCACCTGGCTGCAAGGACACAGCATGGGAAACGACAGTGAAAAGGGAGGTCTGAAATACTACTCTCTGGCTGAAACAAACACAGAAGGGTTCAGACACCGCTAGTTGCTTGAATTGAGCCAGAGGATGGAACCCTAAGGTGGCCCTGGCTCTTCCTGGGGACACTGTCAGAGCTTCCGAGGGGAGAGGGCATTAGCCAGGGTGTTGAGGAAATAAAAAGTGCCGCCACTTGAGGTCTTGAGTGGCCCTGACCGATTTGGCTCAGTAGATGGAACGTTGGCCTGCGGACTGAGAGGTCCCAGGTTCGATTCTGGTCAAGGGCATGTACCTTGGTTGCGGGCACATCCCCGGTGGGAGGTGTGCAGGAGGCAGCTTATTGATGTTTCTCTCTCATCGATGTTTCTGACTCTCTATCTCTCTCCCTTCCTCCCTGTAAAAAAATCAATAAAATATATTTATTTATTTATTTATTTAATTATTTAATTATTTAATTTTTTTTAAAAGGTCTTGAATGTCAAGAGGCTCAGGAGAGGGATTTGTTTGCCAGCCAGTGTCTTGTCTCCCGCAAGGCTCAGGGGCGATTCCTGTTCTGACCACCAGAGTGCGCACTGGCACCATCACTGGGAATCCAGGAACTCAGATCCAGGGAGGAGTAGATCCTTTGCCTAAGACCTCTCATGCCCAGCTACTGGCTCACTTCACCCACCGACATTCATTCTTTAATTCTGCAGAAGTGTATGAAGTACCACCCAAGAGGCCTTGGAGCCAGTAGGCTCATGTTCAAATCTCACAAACCACACTGGCTGTGTGACCCTGGACAAGTTGCTTAACCTCTCTGGGCAGGTGGCAGAAACTGCCTCCCAGAGCTTAGATGAGACTTAGGACACACGTGGGTAGCCACAGCACCTCCTTGGTCTTCAGTGGGCCCTGCTGCCTGCCCTGAGGGCATCTGCCTCTCACCCATCCCCTCTCCAGCTCAGCCTCATTGGCCCCTTTGGGGTACACCCAGCTGGGTCTCACCTCAAGGCCTTTGCATGGGCATGCCTTCTGCTGGCAGTGCCCTTTCCATTGTCGCCTCTCTTTTTCTGCTTCTCAGGAGATTGTCCCCACCCCTTCATGGGGGAGCCCCATCCCCCAATGCATCCTGCTGCTCAGCACCCTGATCTCTTCCACTACAGCCATCCCTTAATCCGAGAGTTAGCAATGTTGTCTCCCAATATGTGAGGCCAACACCCAACATACAGTGCATGGTCAAGAGTCTTGAGTAACTGAACATTAATGAGTACCTGCTGGGTGCCAGACCCAGGCAAAGCTCTGGCCATGCAGTGGGAACAAGAACACAGGTTTCCATGTTCTAAAACTATGGGTTCAGCCCTGGCCGGGTGGCTCAGTTGGTTGGAGCATTGTCCCGTACACCAAAGGGTTGTGGGTCTGGCCAAGGTGGCACAGTCTGGATTGGGTTTCTACAGACACCTCCAGGCCTCAGGGTCACCTCTTCAGAGACCCCACAACCTTCCTGTTCCCAGAGTCTCCATATTGCCACCTGTCTTCACACCTTGCTCACTCCCTTGTTTGTTTCCAGCCTGGCAGGGACTGTATCGTTGTGTCAACACACGGAACCCAAAGGTCCACCTGTATTGGCCTATTGCTGCTGTAACAAATCACCACCACTTACTTGGTGGCATAAAAAACCACAAGTCTTTCTCTTCCGGTTCTGGAGGTCAGAAGTTCAACATGGTTTTTGCAGAGCTAAAATCAAGGTATCAGCAGAGTTGCATTCCTTCCCACAGGCTCCAGGGAAGAATCTGTTTCCAACCTTTTTTAGCTTCTAGAACTTGCCCACATTCCTTGGCTCTTGGCCCCTTCCTCTATCTTCACAGCCAGCAATGGCAGGTCATGTCCTTCTTTTTTTTTTTTTTTTTAATACATTTCTGTATTGATTTCAGAGAGGAAGGAAGAGGGAGAGAGAGATAGAAACATTAATGATGAGAGAGAATCATTGATCGGCTGCCTCCTGCACGCCCCCTACTGGGGATTGAGCCCACAACCTAGGTATGTGCCCTTGGCCAGAATCGAACCTGGGACCATTCAGTCCACAGGCTGACGCTCTATCCACTGAGCCAAACAGGCTAGGGCAGGTCATGTCCTTCTTATGTAGCATCTCTTTGAATACAGAGGGAAAGGTGTCCACTTTTTTTTTTTGTCTCAACGTTTAAGGATCCTGTGATGACACTGGGCTCACCAGGAAATCCAGGATTGCCTCCCCATCCGAAGGTCCTTAAAATGCAAAGTGCCTCTGCCATCGAAGGTGACATAGTTACAGGGTTCAGGGATTAGGATCAGATGTCTCTGGTTGAGTTGGGCTTTCTCTTACTTAGAGCATAAACATCCCATTACTGTGCATTTGTTCCCACCCCCCTCTTCCCCATGGGTCAGTCCAACTCCCAAGTCTCAATTTAAATGTCCTGTTTCTCTGAAAAGTCTTTCTTGGTCTCTCCCAGGCTGGGTCAGGTATGGCCTTGGGGTGTTCATCACAGCTCTGATCACAATCAATTGTTACTGCCAATTTTCCTGTGGGGTTGGGGGAGAGAGAAGCCTGGAATGGTGAGCAGGGGCCATGGGGAGTCATGGTGGGTGTTTGAGCTGGGAGTAGCAGGTAAGGCTGAGGCTGGGTCAGGGTAGAGAAGAAAGAACAAATGGAAAAGACTTTAAAGGGAAGGCAGAGGCTCCCCAGAGAGGGCCAGTGACTTGCTTGAGGTCATCCAGCACATGGCCTCTGGGGTGGGGAGACACGCCAGGCTAGGGAGCAGGAGGCCGCTGGCAGCTGGCCTCTGTTTGGAATCCACACTGGGCTGACAATGACCTTTTGATTTGCACAGCCCAGGCCAGGGTGTCTGAGATCAGGTCGTGGCCAAGGCCGCACTGTCCAGCCCCCACACATCCTTGGTGAGAACACAGAGTTTTATCCCTGCTCCATTCCCAACCAAGGGAGAATCTCCTCAGCCTGTTAGAGGCCAAGGCCACGTCCAGACAAATGGGCATCTTCCCTCAGTGCCCCCGGGCAGTAACGTAGCCCTTGGCCCCTGGCTAGAGGATATGGGTCAGGCTGGTAGCTAAGGTGGAGGAAGAGGTCTGGACTTGGCATCTGATGGCAGAAAGTATTCAGCATGCAGAACAGGTGCTATGCTATGTGGCCACAGGGACCCTCAATGTCCACACCTGAAGAGGAGGCAGATGCAGGAATGGGGGGTGATGAGGCAGATGTGGCCCTGGGAGATACCCACTTGTTCTCCATTTTAAAATTTTTCCTGAAAGCGTTGACCACTCTTTGAAGTTAGATATCAATTTATTTGTCTTTGCGTTTTATTGGCTATGGCCCCTACAAACCAAGAGCTCAGTGAAGACAAGACGGGGCCTGCCTTGGTCGCCCTGGTAGCCCAGCACCCTCCAACAGTCCCTGCCACCGGGAGGGGGTCATTCCTTATTTCTTAGAAGCACCAACACAGAGGAGCTGCACAGAACCCATGAGCACTTTGAGGGCGCCCTGAACCATTTGGGAGGCCCCCAAGGTAGAAGGGATCAGTTCCAAAACAGGAAGAGGATCTGGCTGCACCCAGGCCCCTGTGGACTTACTTCCCAGGTCCACACGGATGTTGCCATCATAAACTGCGGGACACCCAAGATTCCAGGGCACAGAACCTGAGCAGAGAGGAGGGAATTCCCCTAAGACAGTAAATTATTGTGGGTGTGGCCCAGGCACACCTTTGCAGAGGTCTGGGAGGGGTTGCAGAGTCTCCCAGGTGTGAGGGGCAAAGAAGAGGCACACGGTATTTGGAAGTCTGATGCTATCATTATTGCAGTCAGTGATGTTGGGACCATTGGTGTCCCTGGTCTCTCCCTGCAGCCCAGCTCCTCCCCTCCCCAAAACACTTGCTCACACCCAGCTGTGCCCACTGGCTAGAGCAGCCAGGAGCTAGGTGGCGGCCTGGGGTGTGAGCAGCCAGTCTGGGGCTGAGGTCCCCCCCGTGTGGGTATGGGGCCGAATAGGGAGGGGAGGATCTCATATGAGCCATGCAAGTGACCACACGCATTCCACGAGGTGGTACACACTCCCCATGAGTAACCGGTTAGCTCAGCCACAACCCTTCAGCTGAAGAACCCCAAACTCACGGTGACGCCTCGAACTCACCACGATCACAATTTGGCCCCCTTGCCTTTGCTACAGCCATACGAAGGCTCCCAGGTCGGGCCACCACCCACTAGCCGCCACCCCCGGTGGCCAGGCCCAGCCCCTGCACACATCGCGCA